CAGCGGTGCCAGGCTGAGCAGGGACAGCAGGCCCAGCCCAGGAGGCCGTGGCTGCAGGTACCTGTGCTGCCCTGCGGAAGCAGCCACGGGCATGGTCCTGCTCTCGTGTCCGGTCCTGTCCTGGATCTGGCAAAGAGCGAGCGTGATCAGAGCTGAGGGGCTTCAGGAGAGGTCAGAGAGCACAGCCCAGCCCTGCACTCCACAGGCAGGGCCAGCCCCGGGATGGCCAGTGCATGGAGTTGCCGGGCGAACAGTCTCGGACCCTCCTACCTTCTCCCTTTCTCTGGCCATGTCCACACGGAATGGGATGGGCTGAGGCCCATATGGCTGCAGCCACCAGCCCTGTGGCCCAGCTGTGCCACTCACCTTCCTGCAGGGGCTGAGACTGCTCTGCCTCCTCAGGTTGCTGTGCAGGGGCAGTCTCAGGGCCTTCCTTCTTTTTCTTCCTCCTGAGAAACCTGCACAGGCTGAAGCGTCTCTCCGCCATCCTACAGTCGGGCCTCGTGGGCACCTGCTGCAGGGAATGGAGACGCAAGAGAAAAGCTCTGGGGCACAGAGTCCCAGAGAATGGCCTCGAGGGCACCTGCCGCCGGTATTGGAGACGCCTCGGAAAATTTCCGGGTCACCAATCCTGTGGTCTGGCCTCGAGGGCACCTGAACGAGAGAAAAGCCTACAAAACAGTGTTGGTTATCAAGTCCTGCAGCGCGGCCTCGAGGGCAGCTGCCGCAGGGATTGGGGACACCTCGCAAAAGCTCCGTGTCACCAAGTCCCGCGGTCTGGCCTCGAGGACGCTCGCAGCACAGAAACGCCACCAAAACGCTCCGGTCAGCAAGGAAAGAGTTGCCTGCGTGGGGGCTCCACACAGCACCGCTCTGTCCCGTCCGTCCCGTCGCACGCTCCGAGGAGCACTGAGGTGTGGTCACCTCACCACCAGTACTGTGTCCTCACGTGTCACAAAGGGCCCTGTGACACTCTGCACCATGCCATCTCATCGTGTCACAAAGGGCCCTGTGACACACTGCCACATGCCCTGGGGGCTCCCCCAGCCCGGCCAACCTGCCCCGGGTGGGAAGGAATCCATTCTGCAAAGTATCTAAGACAGCTGGACATGAACTTTAGGCACAGCTGAAAAACTAAGCAAACCCTCCCCTGCTGGCACGGGCTCCTTGGGAGAAGTGCCGGCTGGTGGTCCTCCCGAACACGGGGCTGTGACACACAGAAGGAACGTGGGGGCGAGGGCACCAATGCTGATCCCACCCCATTGCCCGGGGCTGCACCAAAATCAGCAGCTCTGGCAAGTCCTCGCCCAAGGAGACCTGCCACCGCCCCCAGTCCTGGCAGGGCTGGTGCCCGTCTCCTGCCCCACAGAGCTGTGTCCCCGGGGCACTTCTCTGCCCCAGGGCAGCCAAAGCCAACGGGCACTGATGTCTGTGCTCTTGCAGGGGGCTGTTGGGAGCGGCAGCTGGAGCAATTGGTGGCCGTGCTCGGCAGCTGTCAGAAGGCAGAAGCACTTTCTCCTTGGGGGAATGATTTTTTTTTGGGCAAGTGATGAGCTGCAGCACCAAACTCCCCTCGGTTGCTGAGTTTTGCAGAACGATTAGATTGGTCAGACATCCTGTCAAGTTTCCTTGTCTTCTTTGGGCTTTTTTTCTTGCATTCTGCAAAATAAAAGCTGCCCGGCCTGGTGTTCAAAGCTCCAGGTTCTGCATGTCCGGCTGTGAGTCCCAGCTGATCTCCAGGGCATTGGGGAAAGTGAAGGGGACAGGGAGAACTCAGGGATGCAAACCTGTTCCGTGTCTCTGATTAAGGTGCCGGCCTCCTGAAGGAGCAGCCAAGACAAGTGCTGGCAGCAGACGTCTTCTGCCAGTTGCTGCTCTCGCATGGACACAGGGCACACGTGTTGCCACGGGTGCAGAACACTTGATGCAAGAGCAATGGGGGGCCGTGCATTGGTAGGGAATGGGCTCCAGCACGCCCAAAGTAGGATCCTCCAGCAGCAAAACCTGAGCCATCTTTGCAGATGTTGGTGGGGCTGGGGGAGACCCTGGGGGGAAAGGGCTGTTTTTCTCTTTTTTCAGCCCTGTGCTGTAATTTCCAGTCCCACTCCCAAAATTCCATAGGGATGAAGATTCCTCCCGGACAAAAGGTGCCAGGACAGAAAGCTCTTGCTGCCCATGGAGTGCCAAGGCTGGCCCACCAAGTGCACCTGATACCCAAAGGTTCCAGACTTTCTTTCCTGGGGATAAGGGCTATTGCTTGCTTTTTTCAGCCCTGCGCTGAAACTGCCAGTCCAACTCCCAAAATTCCATACAGACGATTGCTTTCAGTCCTACAAATCCTCTGTCTTTTCTCACCTGGACCTGCAATCACAGAGGTCACAAAGCACTTCCTGTGTGCTCTGAAGGTGCTGGTTTGGTGAGGGGCTCAGATGTGTCCACCACTGTGTGTAAAACCCTGGAAAACAGAATGCAGAGCTTATTTTAATTTATTTATTTTTAATTTTTTTTTCCTTGAAATGCAAATTGGATGATCTGTGCCCCCATCCCTTCCCCAACAAAATATGGGGCTTTGGCTCTTGGACTCAATGATTTTAGAGGACTTTTCCCACCTTAACAATTCTATGGTTTGAAGTGCATAATGATGACTGTCAGCTCTATAAAATGTTCTCTTACTGTTTCCTGCTGCCCCCATAATTTAAGGGCCCAGCTTTGTTCCATACAACCACAAGGGTTGTGAGTGGATTATGCATTAGGTGTGAATTGCAGACCAGCTTTCAGCAACAGAAAGGAGCTTCCAGGGATCATTCCTCACCTTGGGTACCTTTAGGATGTGTACCATTGCCCATTTTCCATATGGTGTCCCAGGGACCTGGATTATCTTTGGTTGGCTGGTACAGGCAGAAGTTGGGAGACTCAGAGTCATCTGTCAGTGCACCCAGATAAGACTTGTAAGACTGCAGTATATTTCTGAATATTTGAGTTTATCTTCTTCTAGCTCCTGTGTGGTGAGCAGTAAAATTGGAATTATTCCATCAAATCTCCTTGTTCTTTTCTTTTTCTAGATTATGACCAGGTTTTTCCGTGTGTCTGTGGGTGCCTGGAGAAAAAGACAGGGGAAAGAAAAGAAAACCAGGTAGAACCTCAGTTTGCTAAAAATAATAATAAAAAAGTGGTTCCTGTTTTCACTCTTTTTTGGTAGGACCCTGGAATCAAGCTGAAGTAAAATTACTAATTATAATAATTTAACCTGGACATTAAAAAGCTACATGAAGGCAGAATTTTCATTCGAAATAGAAATGTCAGGCAAATTTAACAATTATGTAATATGGAAGTGTCCAAGGCCAGGTTGGACGGGGCTTGGAGCAACCTGGGCTAGTGGAAGGTGTCCCTGCCCATGGATGAGCTTTGTGGTCCCTCCCAGCCCAAACCATTCCTTGATTCTGTGATTCCATGTAATGTCTGTCTTGAGCAAATGGGAGTCCAGGCACAGACTGAGGAAGTCAGCTAAAATGGGATTTTGGAAGGCTGGGCATATATTCTCAATCAAATACAGGCTGAAATTTTATTCCACTCCTTTATTCCTATAAGGACTCAGGAAAATCTGCAAGTGGCGCAAAGGACAGTTTGACTGATTAGTGCTTTGACCTTGAAAAGCTGAGTTTTGAAAGGTGTATCCGAAGAAGTCAGTGTGTGTGTATGTACAAAACAGTCAGAAACGTAACCTTCACCTCAGCTTTGACTGTGGGTCGTTATTTTAATGCACACAATAAATGAGAGGAGATAGATTACCATTGAGAGAGGCAATCCGGGTGAGCAGGAAGGAACAAACTGAATTAGTCTTTAGGAATTTTTCTTTTATGGGTAATGTCAGCTCATAACGTTGCTGTTAATGATGACATTTTCATTTCTTTGAGGGGATCAGAGAGATGAAGGTGGGAATGATGCTGATGTCTAACAAACCTGTGCTGAATACTGGGATACAGATGTTGTTGGAGAAATTCTCATTGTGCATTTATGTTGTTAAATTGGTCTTACAGTAAAAGAGAACTTAGCCACTTCTGGAGATCATATCTGTCCTTAAAGCTAAAAGATATAATGTGACACCCTGCTGTCCCTCAGGGCTGCAAAGCATTTCAGCTGAAGAACCCTGAAAATTAAGTCAGATGGCCCTGAAATGAAGTGCAGGGGAATTTTGCTTTCAAGGCTCTGTTATTAGTCAGCCCCTGCTCTGCATGAACTACCCGAGGCCTCCAAGGTGATACAAAGCTTTATTGCTTTCCCAGGGGGCGGGGTGGTGCAGGAACTCTGCAGGAATAGATTTGCCTGCAGTTTGCTTGGTCAGCACACTGTAGATCCAATTTATATTTTGTTGAGGCAGGTGGGAGAGGGAGCAGCCTCTTCCCAGTGTCTCTCACTCCACGGAGTCTTTCCCCTCAGTGCTGTTATTGGCCCCTTTTTTGGGATCCTCGGGAGGTCCCCAGGCCCATCCTGTTTGTGCAGTGGGTCCCCAGAGCCCCCTGCTTGGGCAGGTACCTCCCGAGGAGGTGAGAGCTGCCCTGGAGTTGCTGATTTCTATTTCTGGATGCCACTTCTAGTCTATTCCCCACAGGAAAAATGGAGTGGGAAACTTAATGAGTTGCTTTGTGGTTTTTTTTTTTTTTACCTCTGGGAAACATAAAAAAAAATAGTAATCACTTACTCAGAGCTGGTCTAATGTGATTTCAGAGATGACAGCAGGAGAGCAGAGGGAAGGGGAAGGCATCTAAATGTGTTTTGAGCTGATGGGAAAAGCAGACTAAGGTAAATCAAATCCCACCATGGATCTGACCCCTGGCAAAATCAGCTCCCAGTTCCTGATGTCTTTAAGAGTTATCATAAAACCACCATAGGTGGGGTCCAGTTTTCAGGAGAAGCTGTTAATCCTGGTAAAACACAGATGGAGGAGATACCAGTCCTTCAGGACTTTCTGTTCCTTTATCACAGCTGGAAACTTCACTGCAGGAGCTGGAGCAAAACCTAAGGTGGGCAATAACAAGCATTTAGGAAGAGGAGCAAAGGAACCCAAATCTGATGGCCCTGCAGAATTTGCCCCAGAGAGGGTGGGCTGAGTTATTTAGATTTAGTTCTTTAGTTCTTTAAATAAAATTTAAAGTAGAAGTTAATTACAGTTGGTTGAAAGGTTCAGAGGGTGATCTGGAGTGAGGAAAAAGGATACCTTAAAATGCCAAAAAAATGAAGGAAAGTAAATATCAAGAGGTGCTGGTACTTTTGTCTCATTTACACATGAAACCAGCTCTCTCTGAATTACTCCCTGCATCTCTACTGGAGTGGATCATTCAGTGGCACCTTGAAACAAGGATGTTTGTGCAAATAACTTGTGCTGATGACTTATTAGCACACAAAAATAGAAGATTATAGCAGAGGGATCAGAGCAGGAGATGCTCCAGAGGCCTAGAGGGAGTGGGACAAAGAATGGGAACTGCTTGTCCACACCTTCCATGACTGGGTGTTAAGGGATGTACCAAGAACACTGGATAAAGCTGATTTTAGGAATAACAAGGAGAACAAAGAACAAGAACATACAGTAACTCTGCCAAACACAGCAAAACTTGATATAACATGGAATTTGTACATCAATGAGGAAAGAACAAGTGAGCAAAGCATTCAGGAAGCCGTAAAAATCACCCACATGGGCTCAGGAGGAGGAGGAGGAGGAAGAAATTCCATTGTCAGTGCTAGAATCCTGGTGAGGAAGGTGGGTGAAGAACTAGACAGGGGGAGATCCCAGAAAAAGGGGGAACTGTGAGCAAGTTTTGCCAGCAGGGATTGTAATTGTGTCAGCATTGCAAATTGGCTGCTTTGCACTACAAATGTTCCTGTCCTTGTAATTGCACTGATAATAATTCTTGGATTAGGCTGTCAAGGCTTTAATTAGCTGATCAATAAGTTCTTGGCCCTGCATATCAAGTGTGTTCCTCTGGCTCAGGTGGGTTGGGAAGGTGTTGGGGAGGTCACCTGCCCTTAAAGGCTGGTATAAAATCTGGGTGCAACAACATGAATGATGGATAAAGGGCCTTTTTGTGATGTTCCAGAAAAATTTGGTACAAATGGTTTGTTAAAACTAGATATTTCATGAAATAATTAAGAGAAGTTATTCTCAAAAATGTTAATATTTGGACAAGTGGGCTGGAGGCAACTGGTTTTTGTTGTTTTTTTTTTTCCACAGTGGAGCTCTGGTTCTCCCTGAGCAGAAGTTGTACATTTAGGTGGAGTTCCAGCAAAGGAAGAGGCAAAGATTGGTTGAAATCTGTCTGGATTTTTGTTGCTGGTTTTTGGGGCAAAAAATGAGCTCTTAATTTTAGTAAATATGTAACAAAATAAGAAAAGAGGAGAGGATGACCTTCCAAAGCTTGTATTGGATGTCTTCTAGCACAGGGCCATTCAAAGAAGGTTGCAGGTGCAGCCAAATATGTTTGATTTCAGGCCTCAGGAAATTGTCCTTCCTGCTCAGAAAAGCACAGGTTGTATTGTACAGCCAAGCTCATTGCTGAGTTTTAGTGAAAGCTGACTCTGATTTAAAAAATACCGGGTTTTTTGAGGAAAAAAAACCAAAGCAGTTAAAAAAAAAAAAAAGAAAAAGAAAAGAAAAACTGACTAATGAA